TTTATTTAAACCAAAAACTCGTAATACAAAATTGAAGACAAAACGAATGACAATATCAGGAAATAAATAAATAAATGTGGCAAATTAACATTTTTTACAGCCGAGCTACAATGAACTTAAAAATCGGACACTCGATTACGTAACTAAAAGTTTAATTGGTATTGAATATAGGCCCCAACTAACTATGTATATTTTATAAATATATAGGTATTTTTATTAACTAATAAATCCCTAACTGTTTAAGTTAAAAATGTATTTGTTAAAAAATATTAGTAATGTTACGTTGGCAGCTACCTACCTCTGTCTGAATTATTAGAGCCGCTACAGTTAACTATGCGTAATTGGTACAATTACACCATATCATGGAATTTACATATTTCTGCAAAACTTTAATCGATCAACATTCTTGGAAGGCCGTGCGCATTTGCTCCATATCTATATAGCTTTGAAAGTAAAAACCATAATTATTATAATTTCACTGTTAAATTATAATTTTTTCGATTTAATCAGAATAGGTACATAATTCCGACAAACATAATTCAGAGGTATATGTAGATATATATGTTTATTCTTAGTAAAAAACATGTTTGTTTTAGTTGGAAATGTTAAGAGCTGTATTATTTATATTCTTTAAATTTTGGCACCGTGTCAACAGTATGCTTATTTGTTTCATCGAAATCGTCAAAATAAACTTAAACGGCGGGGCTTTGAACTATGACGAATAAAAATTTAAATTACACTAAAAGGAGAATTCATAAAACTTATTAAAGATCTGCACAGGCTATACAGAGCGTTTTACGAAGAAGTACCTCGATTTGACCATATAAATGTAAAAATAAAGTTTCATTCATTTTTGATGATCATTGAAACAAAGAGAACAAAAATGGGATGAATTTGTGGATACCTTGGATCATATGTATCAAATTTTTACAAGAATATAACTAAAATATGACACCTTCAAATAAGAAGAAAACTTTTATTTAAAAAAATATTGATCTAGAATATATATAGATATAGAATCCAAATATAATATAATTTAAAAAAAATGCTTCCTCAGGGGCTGGCGCTTTCCTGAGAAACCCTGTGTAAGTAACTATATAGGGTGTCCCAGAAATAAATGCAGATATTTTAAGGGGCGGTAGATCTCGATAAAAGAAACATATTTCCTCTTTACCGTTTTTCAAAATTAGTCCAAAATAACCGAGTTATTTTACTTTGAAAATTTCCAAAAAAATGATGTTTTGCTTAAATTTTGAGAACCACTGGATCTTTTCTGGGTTTTCTTTCTTGTAAATTTAATCTACTACCTATGTTGCTATATTATCAAGAAATAATGTTTTTTAACTAAAAAATTTTCCAAATTTTTTTGAAAAAAATTCCAAATTATTATTTTTTTTCGCGAAAAAACCTCACAGGCGTGTTTCTGGGGTCGAAATATACTACCTGTTAAAATACCTGCACTTATTTCTGACACCCTGTATATTCCTGAGAAACATCCAAGTAAACAAAGTCTACACATAAATAAAATTCATATCAACTTCTTTTTTGTAGGACCTATAAGATGACCGACGCATTTTGTTACAGGACCCCCTAGTATAATTTATAATGTTTCTATAAGTAGAATACGTACTGGTGTCTGAAATTTGTATGTTAAATTAAAAAAAAATAAGCAATTGGTAAAATTTTCCTAGTGTGTCTCCTTCCCCACGTACTCCAATTGCATAATCTGCACGGGGCGCCAAAAAATAAGGTATAGGTACCTATCTTTCGATCTGCTATTTAATTGCTATTTAATATTGAAAAAAAAACTGTTAAACTTTTGATTTGCATCACAAATTTGCCCTCATAATATCTATTTAAAATATGTTATGTATTATAATAATACATACAGGTTGTTAACACGTCAGTTACTTATAGGGGAACAGAATGGCAACACTACCTATTGAGAACGCATGCAATTATAGGGTTTTCTGCCGACTCGTCCTGTCGCGTCGTCTATCGACGAGCGGGCCGAGGTTGCCATATTTCAACCATAAAGCTCTTGCCGCGAGTAATAAACAAATTAACAACCTGTATATGTTATGTGTATATTACCATATTACGAGTATAAATACGAAAATATTAGATACAAGCAACTTGTTTTACAGGATTTACGGAAATTTAAAAAATATTCCTCTAGTATATCAGTATGTTTTGTGGCGTTTGTCACAGGAAATGCCACAATTTTTGATAAGTTATTTTCTTAACTGTCCTGCTATTGTTAACAAGAATCTAATCATAAAAAGATAAATAAGACAACCACCAATTTAACCACATTTATTCTTTTCTGAAAACAGCTCGGTAGTTCGTAACAGAAACAAAAGATAAGAAATAAAAATGTTTATATTTTGTTAAATACTACTGGATTTATAATGCAGAAACACAAACTGCTCTTTTTTTCCTTCTGACTACGAAGTACCAGATACACCCCCTGAAGAGTTAAAATTATTTTTGGTTAGTGGGACAAATTTATTTACGACTAAAGAAGAGAAACACACAGAAGAAAGATTTTGTATCCTTGGATTATAAATTCAGTGGTATATTTTGCCCTCTTTCAGTAAGTATATGGTAGAAAGAAACGGCATCAGAGTAGGTTTGAGAATGAAGATTGCTGTTATTTTATATACCTATAAAATTATCATCATTTTCAAGCCAATTTAAATTTAACGCATTTTTTGTTCGATCATACGCTATCTCTCTACATTATCTGCAATGTTTTGCTTTGTTCTTAAACACTTTCGTGCAAATACCCTATAATAAACAAGGCCTATATTGATCCGCAGAAAACTGTTCACGTTGAAAATTATTAAGAAACACGCACTTTCTCTAGTCGGAAAATCTATTTATGCTATTTTCTGTTTACCTCACTGACGTCACGTATAGTTACGCGAATTTACGAGGACTAGGTATAAAGTATTGTTATGTTAACAGAACTATTAGAGAAATTAAATGTGCGATGAAATAATATGTTTAAAAATAATAATACCTGGTAAGATAATAATAAAGGTAATCACAGAATCTCTACAGCAATAAATATATAAATTCTGTTATTTATCTAATAAACTTTTTGATGGTTCGACCAATAAAATTAATATCGTATCATCGTATCGTCGGACAACGGATGCATGAAAATCAAGCTTTACTCCAAAATTTTCAGAATAAGTCTACAGGTGAATTCTCAGGGTGCAGCCACACTATCCTAAAAACGGCGTATCGGCGTAACGGCGTAATGACCTTGAATAGATTTCCAGCTTTGATTTCCAGTAATTCTATTGGCTGAAACATTCATCTGTCAGAAATTTTATCTGTCAAATTCATCTGTCAAAAATTTCAACCAATAGAATTACTGAAAATCGATTCAAGGTCGTTACGCCGTTACGCCGATACGCCGTTTTTAGGATAGTGTGGCTGCACCCTCAGTATACGGCGCAGAAAGATTTAAAAGGGACACGTTAAACGTAGCGTTGGATAAGCTGATTATGGATTTAAATAAAAGAAGCCAAGTCTATGAGACATATAGCAAAAATTCAAATTTTTAATGGATTTGCAAGACAAAAATATAGTCATATTATTGATTACTATCCCGATGACGTAAACGAGCATTTAGAGAACGAGTGCATTGAATTAAACCCGGACTCCAATCTAAGCCAGAGTCACCAATCTAAGCTATTACACCACTTCAGTGACATTTTTATGCTCATGTATGAAAATAAACTTATTGACGTGTTCCCTAACTGCTATACCATTTCAAAGATTTTTTTAACATTGCCAATCACTAGCTGTGAAGCAGAACGCTCCTTCTCCAAGATTTATGTAGAAAATAAATATAGGACAACAATGTCGAACCATCGACGAAATAATTTATCAGTTCTTTCCATAAATTGTGATCTAACAAAAGACTTGCAATGTGATGACCAAATAACTGTCAATTTCTGTGACCTATCAATTTATTTTACTAATTCATAATAAAAAAATAAAATTGTTTTATTTTATTTATATTCTTATATATTATATAATATCACTATTTCGGTTTCTCTCTCACCTAAAGGTTGCCTGGAAGAGATTGCTACCACAGCAATAAAGTCGCCTTTTATACAACTAATACTTGCGTAGATTTAAGTAGCATTTATGTTTTTTTTTGTGCATTAAAGAATATATAATAATAATATATCATTATAGAAACAGTTTTTTGATATGGCTATTAGTTGAGTACTTAGGTAGGCCTCTAAGTAGTTTCAGCCCAGGGCCCCACAAATTCACGATCCGCCCCTGCCTTTACTATAATATATTACCATATGTATTTTCTTAGAGTTTTAATAACTTAAATTATAGATGACATAGAGCTTTGGAATTTAAATGCCTACGTTAGTAGTATTCTTTTTCAGAACTGAACATTTTCAGTTCGTTCAGAACGAAAGAATACTACTGTTACATCATGAGATCGTCTTAGTATACCAGTCCAAGTCAAAGGCTACTCAATGTAAACGACGTCGCAGCAAGAATTTGCAAAACGAAGTGGAGTACAGCTGTACGATGTATAATGGTCGGAGAACCGCTGGACTCGCCGAACTAACGAATGAGAACAAGATGAATCTATGATATAAACGACTAGCCAACTACGGGACCAGAGACCCAAATTTGAAACGCATGGAAAAACTTTTGAAGAAATTATATGCAAAGAATGGACAAAAAACTAGGGGAAGCGAAATGCCACTATGGATTTGATTAAAACATTGATGATAATTCGAAAAAATATTCCGGAACAGAATTTTGAAACCAAAAATTACTTTTAGGGCCTTTTAACCTTTTAACAGATATTCTATCTGGTTGCGCAAATCAGGTCGGGTTTTACTGTTTGAACAGCTCTTGTAAATAGCGTGTCGTTGGGAAAGCCCAGCAGCTTTCGGTGAATCAGAAATGCAGCGCTGCCGTTCAGGGTCCCGCGAATTTCTAAAGGTTGACACTGGCGACCTGTCTGCAGCCGGCCGGTAATTTGCGAATTATAATTAAATCGCTTCGGTGGAAGCGGCTAAGTAATTTCTGAAAATTCCCTCGTCGAAAACGTTCAAAACCGGACGAAGCACGAGCGCCGCGGTCAATATTGTGGCGACGTTCGGTCGCAACACAACTCCATCAGAAATATTATTGTTTATATACAAGAATATCGGTATTGTTCTTCTGTGACTTGGCATCGGGCATCGGTAACGGTTCATCTGCATAAACAACTTGTGGTTAAACATATTTGTTTTTGTTGCGCTGAATCGCGTGCTAGTGGAAGACGGGTGTTTGCTGTTGCAGTCAGAAGGATAAAATTATTGTAATCCGTTTATTTTTAAACGCTGTTACATGGACATAACTTACGCACGTCTAAAGGACACTCAAGAACAGTTTGACAAAGACGCAGGGTAAGTTTTATAGTAAAATTTTATTTTATAAACTTAAAACATTAATTATGATGCAAATAGATCTTTGATAATATGCCAAGAAAATCACAATAATAAAACAATAATTAAAAGAAATATTGGGTTGAAAATGCATGGTGAATTTTTATTTAAATTAAAAAAAATAATTATTTTAAGAATTTAATTAATTATTTATACCGGGTGCGTCTCGAAAGTGACTCAACCCCTATAACTATTTTATTTTTTCATATAAAAAACAAGATTTGGAATGTTATTATACGACAGAGATTCGGATTAATTGACGTATTCAATTGTTTTCGGTCACTTCCTGTTTCACCGGAAACAACTACAACTTTTGAATTTTAAATGACACCCTCGGTATATTTCTACTCTATTCGATAGGCAATGACACTCTGAATAGAATGACATATCATATCTTAACTTTTGACATATGATATGTCATTCGACATGACATTTTCGCATAATGGTTTATTTTGACATTTTAACATGCGATTCATAACGACAATTTCACTCGAAATGCCAAGTGTGTGGTATCAAATTATTCGTGAGAAATGCTTTTTCCAAACATGCTAATGGGCCATCCTTGTTCCATTTGAAAAAATTGAGATATGATTAAAAATACGATTTGGGCATTTTTAAACCGACCAGAACAAGACACGAAAAACATTAGACGCCGATCAAAAGTATTTTTCTAAAGCTCCTTGATTAAAAATTAGTGTTTTTAGCACAATCATGGATGGCACTCTAGTTTGAAATTTAAAATACGATATTTTTAAATGAAAATGTCGAAAGTTGACATATGATTCATATGCCATTCTATTCAGAGTGTTATTTTTTATCGAATGAATCAGAAATATACCGAGGGTGCCATTTAAAAATCAAAAGTTGTAGTCATTTCCAGTGAAACAGGAAGTGACTAAAAACAATGGAGTACGTCAAACATCAATCAATCCTAATTTACGTCATATACTAAGATACCAAATCTCGTTTTTTTATCTGAAAAAATAGAAAAGTTATAGGGGTGAGTCACTTTCGAGACGCACCCGGTATAATATAAACTATATACTTGTTTTGTTTTTGTTATTGCTAAAAATAAGCTAAGAACTAGAAACAATAATAAATAAGAAAATTAAAGAAAAAATAAATAGACTTGAAATTATAGATAATAAGAGTTTAAGTGTAAAATTGCAGCTTAAACAAAGAAAAATAGAAAAAAATTCTCAGTTCCCTCAATTTAAAATAATTACATACAGTTTTCCATTAATTCGGCGAGAAAAAAATAAAGAAAATTGTCTTTTGCTTTATTTGCAACTGACAATAGATAATAAAGAATTTGTTCTCTCTGTTACCAAAGAAATAAATTCCTATTTTATGTTTATATCAAATTTGTAGTGTTTAATATTTTAGGAACATAAATAGTTTACTCTAAATTAATATATGTTTCCAAATTCTATTCCTTCAGAATTTTCAATAGGTTTAAACGAAATTTATTCCTAAATAGTAATGGAGGCTGGTACTAAAGGGTACAGGGGCAAGTATCCACCCAACCTTCAAGACAAAAGACAAGGAAGAAATTAGTATACAATTGAGGGCATGATAATTTTTTTACGTTACACCTCATTTCGAGTATGAAATCTAGGATAGACTTAATGCCCTAACAATAATAGTAGATAAGTTTTTTTCTTGTGGAGGCTGTCCTTCAGAACTCACGAGCCGCCACTGGCATACATATTACTCTATCATAGATTTTTTGTATTTTTAAATTAAAGTGTATGGTGTTCCGTATGAAAAATATGTTAATTGTTTCTAGTAATAACAGAAACCAAACGTCGGAAAACGTCTTTTGATATATTACAATCTATAATTTTCTTGTTTAAAAATACATATGTCAATTTAAAAGTAATAAATACACATTAATCGCTGCAGGTGGTTATTACATATATTTTTCAAAATTGCCTAGAATTGAAGATTAGAAAGATTTTTTATGATTTGAATTGCTTCATGACATAAGCTTAGATTATATCAACAGAAATGACTGAATATCTAACTATAATTATTATTGACTTAATGTTTGTCTTGTGTTATGAATACTAACTGAATAAAATTGATCCTAATACAGTAATACCCTATTCACGAATGTTGTATTGACGATGTATTAGAAAAAAAAATTAAATTATGAAATTGGGAAAAATTTTCATGATTAAAGCTCAGATAGTGTTGAATGGTGTTGCAGAAATATAAATGTTATCACACATGGTTATCTTTAATGATCTATTTTCTAGACATTCAATAAATATGATGCTGAAACCTTTGACTAATGGCACCGATAGGAGTAGGAGTCCATCACCAAACGCTGTCAGGCCGTTGCTTCACATTGAAGGAAACAACACCTCTGATGCCCCTTTAGCTCATATAGAAACTGATGATGAACATGATGACAGAGAAGTAGTGAATCGTCCATATCCAGGTGTTGATGATGGATTCTTTACCAATGGCACAAGTAAGGAAGTACAATAGATAATAATCATAATGCCAACAAATAACATAACTCTATAATAAGAATAACAATTAAGGACCAAATCTTTAAAGGAATATTAATTAATGAAAGAGTAAAATGTTTTTTTCTTTAAAATTACGACAGCTTCTTTAAATTTCAATTAACATTTTCAATTTTTATGCAATATCTCTGCTCATATCTGGCAGTAGAATACCATAAGCTTTTATATCACTATTTAACTGTAGTACCATATAAAAATAATTCTGTATTTTGATAGAAGTTTGAATGTATAATAAATTCAATGTTCACTAGCTCTTTTGCTAAAATATTCAAGAGAAGTCAATTTATAAAATCAAACATAACAAGTAATTAATATGCAATTCTCTGAGTATAAACTATAGCTTAACAGGACAATGGAAATTAAATAAAGCTATGGTCGTAAGCTTTTTGATAAATTATCATGTTATGTCCGTTAAAATGAGATAAGTATCTATAAATACGAACAAGAAAAGATATTAAAAGAAAAATTTTACAAAAACACATCATTTATATTTAGATACATTTTATATATGTCCAAGATTTATTAATTTTTATTTGAAGGTGCCTATAATTAATGTCGTCTAATTTAAAATTAAAGCATACTTACCTAATATATTATTATTTTTATTCTGTATTTTTGTTAATCCAATATGACTATATCGCATTTCGTATGGAATGGTACATTTTTTCTAACTTCTTTATTTTGGTTTAAGATACCGAAAATGTTAAACCATCTGGTGAAGATGACTCTGGACATCCAGATGTCGAATTAATTAACCATAAAGAACCTGAAGATATTCCTACGTTCAGTATAGTACCCAGGTAAGTTATCTTTGAGGAAAATACGGTCAAACAATATTATTAATAATCTTCTTATGGTTCTAGACTGGGTCCAGACGACAATGATGGAAATCCACAAGTTAATCCAGACCAGCCAGACGCTGCAAAACCACCAACCGATGTTGCCAAAGTTAATCCGACTGGTTTACCTGATTTTCCAGGTAGTCCAGGTTTTAGGCCGTGGGGATACGATTTTGAACTAGGCAACGGGGTAAACACGCTTCCAAGTAAGTTAGCAAGCTCTTTTAATGTTATAATTCTTACTAAATCGCTCCGTGTTCCATAGGCGGTGAGACCATTCCAGATTTGAACGTCTACCAACACAAGAAAACTCTGGCTCAGGGAATGATGGATCTAGCTCTGTTCTCAGCAAATGCAAATCAACTCAGATACGTCTTGGAAACTTTTAGGACTCATCCATATTATTACCCTAGTTTAGCCCTTATTTCTATTAGTTTACTTTTACAGGTAAGGATTAAAATTATAATGTATTCAGGTAAAGCCATAAATAATGCATTAATGTTGGAAATAATCAAAATAGTATTTGAAATATAACTTCATGCAATGTTGCGTTTCTACTTTGGATTATGGAAAATATAAAAACACTTTTTTATTTAAAACGAACTAAAAAAAACCTTTTTTAATCTCGATTTTCATATTTAAATGAATCATATTTTTATGAATATCCTGTGTGGTATATTTATCAAGTTATAAAAATTTAAAGTAATGTAAGAACTAATTTAAATGAAAGGCAACATAAATTTATTTTAAAAAAATATTTATTTTTGAAATTAAATTTTGAACTTAAATTGAAAAAAAATCAAAAACGGTTAAATTTAATAAAATATATAAAATAAAACTGCTATTACTTTGAAATTGGGTTATCACAATTTAACCGCCGTTTAGTGCTATTCAAAAAAACTTTTTAGAAGGTGAGTCTTAAATATGTGCAAATATTTTCGGGACTGGTAGATCTCAGTAAAAGAATCATATTTTCTCTTTGAGAGCCACCGGTTTTTTTCTCTATTTGCATCTTTTTTAGTGCCGTAATCATAGAGTAAAGCTGTAACCATGGTAATATCAGAGATTAAGCAATTATACCGTGGGAAAATTTGCGGTGAATAGGCAGTTCTAAAAAGTTTTTTAAATATACAGTAAAATTTAAAAGAAAATGTCTTGCCTGTCGAAATATTTCCAGAATAATTTTACAGACTTTACAGAAGAAAGTTGACTTAATATGTCATTCTATTCAGAATGTCATTTTCTATCGAATAAAGTAAAAAAATACCGAGGGTGCAATTTAAAAATCAAAATTTGTAGTCCGGTGAAACAGAAAGTGACCAAAAACAATTGAATACGTCAATCAATCCTAATTTATGTCATATACTAACATATCAAATCTCGTTTTTTTTTATCTGAAAAAATAAAAAAGTTATAGGGGCGAGCCACTTTTGAGACGCACCCGCGGTATCTGTTATATTTCAAGCCACCCTGTATATTTTAACTCTTAGATTTTATGTAATATTGACAAATATCTGACTTTATTATTTTATCTTGCAGGTTGCTGTTGGTATAGGACTTGTATGGAATGCCACTTACAACGTCAAAGACAAAAAAGCGTTGTGTATAGCGAATAAAATTAATAATTTTACCATAATTGGCGTATTTCTCGTTACTGTAATCAACGTATTTATATCTGCTTTTGGAGTTGCTCCAGCGCCGGCTTAGAAAATAGCATAGCATTTATTTAGTACATATTTTTGCCTCTGGTTGAGAAAGTTTAATCTCTTTATATTGTGATATTAGCGTATGTTAAGAGTGAACGAAGTTAGATTTTTTTTGATATGCCTATGAATTAGATATTAAGGAATAATATGCTTGGGACTGATTTTATAAGACACTAATATAAGTTATATATTTACTGTAGTTAATTTTAAAAGTAGGTTATATTTCTTATAATAAAATATAGTTGCTATATAATACTGATTTTTATTTTTAAACTAGTTGTCCTTCACATGGTTCATCGACTCTACCTTCAGCATGGTGTAAATTATTGTAGGTATATGAAAATAAAAGATAAATGTTGTTAGCATAACAGATACATGTTAAAATACGCCAAATAAGTAAGTTTGGAGGTGAATAAGTACTAAACCGTTGCTTTATGGAAATTTATTTTTATTGTTTTCAAATTATTAGTGAATTTTTACATGTTTACACAATGTTTGAAGAAAAAATATATTAGATCGTTATTTTTTTCCCTTAATTAAGAAGATGATTATTTTTTTTTAATTGTTTGCTTCTCTGTCTGCAGACAACTTAGAATAGTTTTTAATATTACGCAGTTTAGATAACCCACTGTATCCGTAGATACAGAGATAAAAATTGCTTAACAAAATTCTTTCTATAAAGGGTGTCCCAGAAATAAGTGCAAATATTTTAACTGGTACCTAGTATATTTTGTCCTAGAAACACGCCTATGAGATTTTTTTTGCGAGAAGAAATTGTTGAAAATTATATATTTTTCTTGACATTTTCCGGGAAATTTTAAAAAACTTTTTAGTGCCACTTGTTTATTCACCTGAGGCTTCGAATAAGCTGACAAACCTCGTGAAAAACTCATAGCTGGTTATCGCCCGCGTTTCTCAAAATGTTGCCATTATTTTTTGATATATGTACTATGTATGTATGTATGTATGTATTATTTTTTAAATTTTCAAAGTTAAATAACTCGGTTATTTTCAATTTATTTTAAAAATGGTAAAGAGAAAAGATGTTTTTTTTGACCAGATTTACTACCCCTTAAAATATCTGCACTTATTTCTGTGACACCCTGTATAATATGAAAAAAATGGTTTAAAGTGTTTTAGACATTCTGTGGAGATGAAAAAAATGCTTTTTATACACAGGGTGAGTCTTAAATTAATGCAAATTTTTTCAGGGCTGCTAGATTTAACTAAAAACTAAAAAAAAAATTCAAAACTTTTTTCAAAAAATTCCAAATTTTCAATTTTATTTGCGAAAAAACCTCATAAACGTATCCTACTATATTCGTATCTTAATATATTACCTCTAAAATATTTGCACTTATGACTAAGACTCACACTGTATAAAAACCATTTAATAAAAATTATTCATTCCGATTATAATAAAAAATCAGTTTTAATGACGTCACATTCGCCATTTTTAAAATCTAATAAGGTGAGCATATACCCATTAATTCCATTTGAATCCAGTGGATCAACATTAAATTTTTATTTTTCATTTTTCTGGTTTTAGTTTGTACCACCTTGGACATAGTATATGCTACAAAAAATTTCTCATAAGAGAAGCATAAGAGGGATAAATCCTATTGAAAAAAAACTATTACGGAATTGTCAGTATCACTGTGTCAAAAATGCGTTGTTGTAAAATATGTGTAAAATGCACTTGACCTTTACACTAATCAGAGCACTAATGCTGAAGACCGACTAAAATTTTATTGTACGTACATTAGATGGAAATTAAAAGCTGGAAGATAGTTTAGGGTTCGAATGATAAATGGTTAGGAGTAAATATATTACACATTCCAATTATTTTGTTAACTTAATCATTATTTTTTCAAAGAATACGCAAATTGTTACAAATAGCTGGTATTTAGTAATTGCGATTATTTAACAAAATAACGTTGTTTTCAACGTTTCAAAATACGTATTTGTCAACGCCATATACATGGTGGCTCCTCTCATACGACGCGGAGGCTCCAATGAGAGCGACATTGAAATGAAATTTTGGGAGATGAAATGAAATGTAGGTTAATTGAAAGCAGAGCTTACAGAATCCCACTACTGTTATCTTGGGGGGCTCACTGGCTTACAAAATACAAAAAAATGCATAGATAACAAAGAGCAGATATACTAGCCTTGTAGTTGGATGCTGTAAGCTCCGTAGCAAGAAATTTCTTGCCTAGCCTATGTTATTTTTATACGATTGATAAGTCACTAAACAGGAAATATGTTTACAGGATCGCGCTGCTGGTCACTTTATTTCCGTGGTCTGTATTTTAATGCATACGACAGAGATAAATATATTCGACCAGTTGACAGACAGAGAGACGAAATATAAAGCGGCATGCATTGTTGCCAGTTCAAACGTGAAATAACATAATAAACGAAGCTAATATATCTAAGCTATTTAATGATTCCATTTCTGTTAGACCGTTGCTTCATAGATTGATATTAAATATCTGTAGCCACTCTTTACAAACAACCATAGATATATATAATATAATTCATTGGTTTGTTCAGCTTAGTTCAGAAATAGTGTTAGTAATCCTATTTCAAGGTGTAAAGCTGCGTTCTAAAACTATGCAGTGTCATGGGCTGCACGCCATAGAACCAATAAAATTTGACTAAATTCAAACAGGTGTCAATATTGACCTTAGTTACTAAACCATAGTCCTAAACCATGTCCTAAACTATCAACTATGATTGTTTTGATAGTTTCGCCAACGACACAACGTTGTTCTGAGACCGAGACTTAATAAGAAGTTATTACAGTTGTAGTAAAATGAGTAAATAATTGTGGAAATTAAAGATCCAACCCTAGATGCAATATTTTTTGTACACGCTTAAGCTTGATTTTTATGCGTTATCCGTTGATACGATGGTCTGACGGCGTTCTGATTGGTCATAGCGTTTTCACGCCACTTTTTTTATGTCTATATTGAGTGAACGCTCTCTTACGCTATTGGGTCCTTGAGAGACTCTTTTAAATTAGGAGTATGTCCCTAATATTCACTACTGAGTAGAGACACAATGATGCGATTTTTACATTACTTTGCTACTTATTTATGAAACTAAATATGCTACACATATGTTTGCCCTTGCCTCCTTAGTTCCTGAAATACAGGGCGAATTTGTGATGCGCAATAGTGAACAGATGTTGAATACAGATATGATGCGTAGTAGTGAACGGCAACGTCTACCGGCAACCAGATGGTCCGCGCTCTGTTCAGGAGAGTATAACAAAAGATATATTAAAGAACCAGCTTTCTTAAAATTCTCTCCCAAAAACGTTGTTAGCTCTTAGACTATAAGTAGAACAGCGAAATCGTTATGGAAATGAAAATATAAAATTTCACCAATCACAAGCAAACCGTACATCCGATGAACGGAGGCATGAAAATGTAAAAAATTTAAAAACTGCGAAGACCAATCGAAGTCTTTAAATTCAACCAATAAAATTAATATCGTATCGTCGGATAACGGATGCATGAAAATCAAGCTGTAGTTGGGCGGTTTGAAATTTTGAAGCAAAATTCGGCAATACCGCATAGAAGAAATGTCATCCTAAATGTTAATTTTATATTTTAAAACATTAAGTTAGTAAAGATTTTTGATCATTTTTTTGATAATTTCTGAATAAGTATGATTGTGAGTATGGCCAAAGCGTATTATAATTAAATAATAGCTATATTTGAAAGAACTAGACACAATATCCAAGCGTCATTAGAAAAAAATCATTGGTTGGGCACTATCAATAAGATTGTATTTTTCATCAAGAAATCTTTTACACAGATAAACATCATATACAATATATCGTATGGCATGCTAAAACTCCAAAACATTAATTTAAAACCGTTTAATCAAATTGTCCAATAGCGCACACAGTAAAACAGCCTTTAATTGCCTTATTTCGAAATGCTGTCGCGATAAGATAGATAGTGATTTTCAACTTTTCTGTTTTGAAAGAATACAAAGAAGATTTCAAGTTAGTTGCAAGACAGCGCGAGTTTTTGTTAAATTGTATTGCCTCGAATATGGCTAGAAGAGTTGGATCGTTTCTTTTAAGAACCCTAAATAAAACAAATATTCTTCAGGAAAGGCATGTGTCACAGTATTATCCAATAGACGAGCACATATTCGGATTAACTTCAGAACAAATTCAGGTAAAATACACATAATTATTATAAACACGTTTTAGCAAATATGCGCTAAAAATAAAAATATATCTAGGTTCAAGGTTGAAATAATAAAATTAACATTATTAAAATTTGTTTTAGCTTAGGGAATCGGCGTTTAATTTTGCCCAAAAAGAATTAGCATTTAAGGCGGCTGAAATAGATAGAACAAATAATTTTGAAGATCTTAGGATTTTTTGGAAAAAGTTGGGAGACTTGGGATTTCTAGGTAATTTCACTGAAAATAATCACTAATTACTGTATAATAATTTTATGACCGTAATTTCGTAGTTTAACATTAAATATTTGCTCTTTTAAATATCCATTAAATAAATAAACATTGTTAACATTGACGTGGAATGTTATTATTAAAACAAAATCTGATTTACCTATTTAAAAACATTTACTTATTAATAGCATAAAATATAAAAAATAAATATTGACTTATTCTAGCATTACAATTTTGAAATTTAAAATATTTCCTATAAATTTAAAAATAGAAAAAAATACATACTTTGTATTTAACGTTAGGTTATAGTATATATTTCATACCAATTAAACTTTTAGTTACGTAATCGAGGGCGCGATTTTTAAATTCATTGTTGCCAACAAGTTGCCAACCATGGACATATTTGGCGCCGTGCTGACTAACTGAAATTTAAATTTCGCGCTGGGGATTCAGGTGGTAGCTCTGCTGTAAAAAATATCAAGTTGCCGCATTTATTTATTTATTTCCTCATTGTCATTCGTTTTGACACTTTAGTTTTACAATACGAGTTTTTGGTGTAAATAAATAATGTTGTGATACTTCAATCTTGAACATGTTTATTAGCAGACCTTGCAGTCGAACATTGTTCTTTTAGAACCTCTTTTAGTGCGAAGCGTACAAGATAGCTTAATAGCCGTAAAAAACACATTGCAAGTTTATTACAATATTTTGAACGGGAAAACGGCAGTAATAGTCCTTTATTTCACTTAAGTGCTGTTAAGAACGTGAATTTTGTTGATGTAAATAATAACTGTTTATATATTGATAATTAATCTATTTTTGTTTCCTAAAAGATTTTGATTAAAAGAAAATATGTAAAAGTGGGCAACGCTGTGTCGGTCAAGCGTGACTAAAAGTTTATTTGGTGAACCATAGATATTTTAATGAATAAATATTATTTGCATTGCATCTACGAGTATAAATTTCATTACAAATGTCGACACACATAATAAAGCAATATTTTAAAATGATTTTAGGTATAACAGCTGAATCTGAATATGGTGGATCAGACAGCGGCTATCTGGAACAGATAATTATCTTGGAAGAACTGTCCAGAGCCTGTCCAGCAATAGCGCTGTCTTTCATAGCACACTCGAATTTGTGTCTAGGTCAAATTCAAAGAAATGCCAACAAAGAACAAAAAAAGAAGTATTTACCTAAAGTATTTATTTTTTGCTTTAACTAATGATTTTCTTGCTAAGTTTGCGTCTTTCACTTGTGTTAACATCTATTTAGTTATTAGTTTTTGTCTGATACTATGTTAAAATACCAATTACAGTGTATTCCAGAGAATCAATAACACATTTTTATTTAGTTTTATCCTATACCAACTGAACATTTTAAATAAGCTAGGTCCAGATTATATTTATTTTTAGTTATGCACTGGAGAGCATATCGGAGCATTGGCAATGTCAGAACCCAACTCTGGATCAGATGTGGTATCTATGAGATTAAAAGCTGAGAAATGCGGTGATTACTATATACTGAATGGTACCAAGTTTTGGATAACTAACGGACCAGATGCCGATGTTCTAGTAGTAAGTATACAGGGTGGCTTCCTGTGTTCTTTAGTTCAAATGTAATAAAAACTTAAACATAAAAATGCAGGTATATGCGAAGACTGATCCAAAAACTACAAAATCTCAGCATGGGGTTTCGACCTTTATAGTAGAAAGGGGCTTTCCAGGATTTAAAAGTGGCATAAAACTGGATAAACTAGGAATGAGGGGTTCCAATACAGGAGAGTTGATTTTTGAAGACTGCAAAGTGCCCAAAGAAAACTTAATAGGAAGTGAAAATAAAGGTAAGAATAATTAAATAAACTATAATAATCATATATTTTTGTTATTCAATTTATTATTTTAGTAGATATAGTACCAAACTGAAAGTTAGGCCATTGTTTCTTCTTTAGTATTTCTTTTTTTCTTAATTGTTATAATATGATCGAAAAAAACGGTGTTTGCGATAGCTATGAATTAAAGATCGCTGTTATTTTTTATTTGTAAATTATACTAAGGGTTGGCATTTTTGGTCTTGGGTGCCGGTTTTCATATGTACGAAGAGTACGGTCAACACGCTTAGTAAAATAAGATGTACTGAATAAAGACAGACGGCGAGTATTTTCCCAAGCGCATGGAATCTAGCGTCAGATTAAGTAGTTATGTAATAAATTCTTCGTATTTTTGCTCATTCCGACTGTGATTCCGACTTACTACATTGCCATAACGACTCACTCCTATACATGTAAACGCCGACCTAAAGGTTCGCTTGCCAGCGGCCCAGCGGGGTATGGGAAATGTCATCGATCATATTTTTTAATCATATGGTATTTACCAACAAGGCGACTATAGTAAAATAGTAAAATAGAATTATTATCAAACATTGTCCTTTTTATGATGCAAGATATACAAGTCGCATTACATTAGAATTTTTAATTGTGTAATTTCAAAATGTGCTGAAAAGGGGTTTATTCTATATAGAATAGTAATTAAATACACAAAAACAGATATTTTTGTGATGTAGTAATAGATTGACTGCTTTCTGTTCTGTTTCTGGTAATTATGTATTTGTTATTATTTATTATAGTAACATTGAACCAAACATAATAAACATATCTATTATTAAATTTGTGTAAGATCATTGATGAGAAATAATCAAGTTCATTTCAAAGGTTATCTGATATACAAAATTTTGTAATTATTAATATCAAATGTAACATGTCGTCATTTTATAATTGTGAAAAAAATATCATTCATATAGCTGTATAAGAATATATAAACAAGGGCTGTATATAAAACCATCAGTATGATCGGTTTAAATATACATAAATTAAGTTTATATAGGTACCAGTTAAATTTTTTTTTTAATTTATTAATATTTTAAAACTGGATAAAATGAATTTACAATATATATTGAAATAAAGGGTAATAAGGTATTATATTTTTTAACGTTATATCTTCTCCGTGCTCTAAATACAGTATGATCGAGAAACAAACGGCGTTGGGGATGGCTATGAAATGAACAAAACGGCGTTGGGGATGGCTATGAAGCTGTCATTTTACAAGTAAAATTATATGTGAAATGTCATCGATGTTCATTTTCAAGCTAACTGGACGCCGTTTATTTCGATCATACTATGCATTAGGTAAGCGTAGCAATGTTACGTCAACTTGGGTATGGAGTCACGAGGGTCACAATTAGGGTTCAAGCCCGGGAAATCTTGGTACCGAAAGTACCGGGAGTTCCCTATTCTTTAAGTTCTTTAACCATTTTATATGTATAGTAGTATCAGTAAGTATTCAAATTAGAATACTTTTTGAAAAGGATAGACCACAATAGACCCAAAAAGGTCGCAGTGGAACAGGTCAATAGTTACCTCAAAATCTAGTCTAATCTAAGGTACTTTTAAGAATTATAGATAATATTTAAAAATGTTATTAATTTGTTTAAGCTGGACACACAATCAAAATTTAAATACTAAAAAACTAGAGGAGCAAATTCAATATAACTTTGCGTAATCATAATCAATATGCAGGTACACGGGAAATGCAGGATTATGTAAAAAAAACATGGCAGAAATGAGAATACATTTCAATAAATAAAACATAATTGATATGTATGGTGTGCATTTCCGTTTAATCCAATTACAACCTGATTTGAATTATTTTTATTATTTACGTAGTAAGATTGGAAGAATTGTGGTGAATCATTTTGTCTGTATTATAATTATTTTCTAGAGTCTATCTAGCGTAATAATATAATTATGATATTAATGACAGTTTTGTTCTGTCCCTAAATTCAAAAGTAGATATTATTTTGTCATGTTTTGTTCTGAATGTTGTCTCTTGAAATTATGCAGGGAGAGTCTTAAATGCATTAATGTATAACTATTTTTATTATTAATATAAAACCTAATAAATTTCAATAAACAAATTAAAACTAATTTAATGCGATTTGCGCGCGTTTTTCTGTTTTGATTCTATGAAAACCCCATGTTAATAAATACATCAATAATGCATCTGTTTACGTACATACATTTTTCCACATCTTATTCACTGCATTTCCTTTTTAGGCGTGTACGTGTTGATGAGCGGACTGGATTTAGAAAGGCTGACCTTAGCCGCAGGCCCGGTGGGCATTATGCAGGCCTGCTGTGACGTAGCCTTTGCTTACGCGCACGTCAGAAAGCAGTTCAACAAGCGAATAGGGGAATTCCAGCTGATTCAGGTAATTTTCTTGCGATTTTTCATGAAATTGGCAGAAAAAAGATGTGGTCCAGAATGAGGTAAATGACACTGTGGGTTTTCTGCACCGCCTACTTTCGTCTGCTCTTAATTGGTTAATGGGGATTTTTACATGAATGTTTATATTCTGTTATACGTAATTGATCATACAGACTGCAACAGTGTGTCGGGTGCAGTGGATTATATACGGGAAGGGTATTGGGGGTAATTACTCCTCCCAGGAAGAAATTTATGAATAAGATAAAATGTTTTATAGATTAAAATTATCCCAAAAGAAGTTAATAATACAGATATGAATAATATAGAAGCTATTAATAGGTACCAATCAAAATAGAAAATACAAACCTCTCAAACTATATTTTCTTCCACAGGCACAGTCACAATACCTCTCAAGATACAGGATGGTCCAAACTGTATTCCAGAAACTTCGGCAGCATATTCTACAGATAAAAATAAGCAAAAAAGTTCGTATAAATGTATGTTCTGAAATGCTTAGTTTCGGATCTCCGGGTGTATCTACAGGGTGTAGAAGTTCCATTTTTATTTCGATTTTGTCCTTTGAATAAGAAGACTAAGGAAGGAGCATATAAAAAATCTTAGGTCCACCGCGATGGGCCTCAAATATGGCCGACTTAAATTCCGGTTTATCAGTGCCGTTCTAATTTTATTTAAAAATGTAAAACTATGATGTAGGGTAGACGTGCGGTAGACTCAATATTTTTTTTTATTTTACGTTGCGAATAAATGTTGGTAGTTATTAAAATTCTTATAAAAATATAAAATTCTAATAAAAATAGTTAAGTTATAATAATTATTTATAACTATAAACATCCGATACGCTACTGAAGCAGGTAAGTCAAATTGACGTATATCTAAATTCTTTGACATCTAATCTTTGACAAGTAGTCAATAAAGCAAAAATCTAAAGTTATTACTCTTCAAACCAGTTAAAACACATGTAGGTGGCGCCCCCTACAAATAGGAGTTATATTAACATCTAAATCAAATTTTTCATGTCAAAGAACTCCCAGACACAATTTTTTTTCTAAATATTGATATTACTTCAGAAATTAATTGGAAAAAATAATATTTCTACATAAAAATGAAATTTCTACATCCTGTATCTCCGAAACTAAGCATTTTAGGACATACATTTATACGAATTTTTTTACTTATTTTTATCTGCAGAATATGCTGCCAAAGTTTCCGGAATACAGTTCGGACCACCCTGTATAATTTAAATTTAGTACTTTTTTTAAATTTGCCCAATAAATAAATAATTATTATAATTCTTATGCAGGGTAAATTAGCGGATATGTACACCACCCTTTCGGCATGCCGCAACTACCTTTACAACGTTGCCAGAGCTTGCGACAAAGGAAAAGTAAACAGCAAGGACTGCGCAGGAGTAATATTGTATTGCGCAGAAAAAGCTACTCAAATGGGTTTGGACACTATACAGATTTTAGGTGATATTCATAAATTCTTGTTGTAGTACTAGTACTACAAATATATTGATGTTGTTTTAGGTGGAAATGGATATATTAATGATTATCCAGCAGGAAGGCTCCTAAGAGATGCTAAACTTTATGAAATCGGTGCGGGAACGTCAGAAATTAGAAGAATGCTTATAGGAAGAGCTATTAATAAAGAATACTCATAATAATTAAAATATTAAGTACTTTAAATTAAAATTGATTTATATTGATTCCATATATTAAGTATTTACATTTCAAATATTAAGTATTATTTTATTTCATTGTTGATTGAAAGAATCGGGAAGATACGCAACCTAATGGGTGAATTTGTGACAAGGCTGATTTGATTTCCCCTTACGTCTCAAGTGCATCTTATGTGCCGTACGGTGGAGACACCAGTCGTTCTGTGGTCAACGCATAAAACATTTATTTTCTCTAATTCGGCCAGCGAAGGCATATGAAAGCATATATGAAAGTCGGTGTGGATTTAAAAGCAACAACAAAGCAACCATATTAAAATGTGTAATATCTGTAATACGTTTGACGAAAATATCTTTGGATAAAAAATCCGCGTTTATGTTTTGAAAATTTATTCGTGTTAAACATAGAATAAACAACAAACATAAAAATTCTTTTATAGGTACTGAATATGTCGTATGATCGAAAAAAGTCGTTTAGTTGGCTTGGAAACGACGATTATTGACATTTACCATAATATTTTACATATGAAATAACAGCGATCTTTATTTCCAAGCCAACTCTGACGCCGTTCTTTGTTTTATAATATAATATTTTATTAAAATGTTTAATTATAGAAAATCCTTGTTATTAACATACTGTGTCCAAAATCCGGAAATCTACGGATTAATCAGTAGTTCTGGCAACACTGTTCCCGGCAACCACTCACTCTGTCGACTGAAAGCAGAATTACGCTACAGTATTCTTTATCCGCTGCCCTGTAAACGACTCAGCGCGCAGCGGCGCAGAGCTAAATTAAATCTCGGAATTCTCAGACAGGCTGACGGTAACGCCAGCTACATCTCTAGGAAAAAACACTTCAGGGTGTAGCCACACTATCCTAAAAACGGCGTATCGACGTAACGGCGTAATGACCTTGAATAGATTTCCAGTAATTCTATTGGCTGAAACATTCATCTGTCAGAAATTTTATCTGTCAAATTCATCTGTCAAAAATTTCAGCCAATAGAATTACTGGAAATCGATTCAAGGTCGTTACGCCGTTACGCCGATACGCCGTTTTTAGGATAGTGTGGCTGCACCCTCAGTCTTTTTTGAAAGAGAAAAGAGCAGATGGAAAAAATAAGTTCTTTTTACTTAAATAAGCCCTTCTTCTTTTGATTATCTATTGTAAATAATTGATAATCAAATTTGGAAAAAGAAACATATGGAGACGAAGATTACTTCCTCCTAGATAAGTTTTATTTATTGAACAGTATAACATTTTACATATTTTAATAAGATTGGTAGGTAATGAAATATTATGTCAAATTGGCCCGGGCTGGTTAAGTCTGATCTTGTGCCATGCTACTGCTTGAAGAATTTCGGGCGATTTCTTCTTCCTCTTCATCCAACAACTTATTTAGCGATAACATAATTTCTGCTTTAAATTGCCGATGTCTCTTGCTTGATAATTTCTGCATGTCAGGTATTAAACTTTTGAAGAAATTTAAATCACTGGCATTAAGCTTTTCCTCTGTCTGTTCAGTCTTCGATTTCAAAAATGCCACCATTGACTCAGCTACTCGGTCCGTTGCACTTTCTTTACAATGCTTCTTAGACACATCTTTCGATTTCCTAGGTGGATTTAGCTCGCATGAGATAGGGGGAGGGGATGATATTGAAAATTGGGAGTTGCTGCTTTCAAAATCAACCATATTTTCATATACGTCATTATTTATATTATTTGTTTTTAAAATAGTTGGTTCATCATAATTACTGCTTCTCATTTTCTTGTGTTGACTCATAAAATCTTTTAGAAATGACATAGAATCGAAAAGATACCATATCTTCTTTTTAGAAGATGCTGCTCCGATGGGGTTGTTTTTTATTTCCCGTAGTTGTCGAGCATATGAATTACGCAACGAATTCCACTTTGTTTTGCAATCTGCAACTAAATAATCGAAAATTAATTTTAATTGTTGACATAATTTCTTCTAATAATTTTAATTAGGCTATTAAATTTTAAGAGTGTCGTTTGTTGGTACTCTTGAAACTTCTAAGAGAACTTTTTAAACAACTGGATAAGATCAGGCTACCTATCAACATTAGAACTCTTCTCCTAAGCAATTTTTAAATTATTGATAAAATTACGTCCTTAAAAAAAGTAATATGTACAGGGTGGGTCAAATTCGACGCTTTTAAATGGAAACACCCTTTTCTATAGGAGATAGACGAAAACTAATATCGGTTTCTGGAGCTCAATTTTCATCAAAAACATGATGGTGAAAACCGCACATCAATATCTGTTACCGTTTCGGAGTTACGGTGTGTTTTTCAAAAATGTGCATTTTTAACAAATCGCTGTAACTTTTTTGCTATGGAAAATTTTGTATTTCTATGAAAACATTTCCAAACCACCTTTTTACGTAGAATTTAATGGTTTGAGTATAATTTTTTTAAAATTAATAATTTAAGAGTTATCTTAAGAGTTTTTTTAAATATATAATTTAAGTTATTTTTTTTCCATTTAAAATAAGAAAGTTGTGGATTTCCGGAAGTATCGCCATATGGAGAATATTTTTGTATTCTCGATATGGTATGGGTAATAGTTCTCTATAAACTTCTAATGCAAACTTAGATTGGGATACCCTGTATATCATTAAACTCGTTTTTAATCAATAATACAGCTTCATCGTATGGCGGAGGAATAATTATAATTTTTTATTTTTATTTGGCTGCTTGAACCCACTATAAATAAAACTAATAACTAATTTTTACCTGGTGCTTTCATTTCAAGCGCAATTTCATCCCATAATGCGTCTCTCAATTCCCGGTTGTGGTGATCTTTCAGATGGTAATTATACAATGATGGCCTGCTCTCTATGAGCGCAATTATTTTTTCTAAGTCTACTTCCATAATTAAGTACAGCAAAGCACTGCATCAGATAAAGAACTCGTCGCGACTAAAAATGTTTTAACATAAAACGACGATCCAGCGATCGAGGTCGAGCAGCCTGACTGTGACTAAACGACAGTGTTGCCGAGCCCAAAAATCAATAGTCGGTAGTTTCGGAATAGATTCTATCTATATTTTTTATTTTATCTACTATTCTATTTACAGGGTGGTCCAAATTGTATTCGGGAAACGTGGGCAACATATTTTGCAGATAAAGATAAGTGAAAAAATTAGTATTAATGTATGTCCTAAAAAGGCTTCGTTTCGAAGATACAGGGTGTATATAACAGGTGTTTCATTTTTACTTCGGTTTTTTCCAAATAAATATTGCTGCCTGGGAGTATTTTGACATGGGAAATTTGATTTCGATCAATACAACTCGCATTTGGTTTATTTGAAATTGTAACATGCGGTTCATAACGATAATTTGACTCGAAAGATCAAGTGTGTGGTACCAAATTATTCGTGAAAAAAATGCTTTTTCTAAATATGCTAATGAGCTCTTCTCGTTCTATTTGAAAAAATTAGATATGATTAAAAATACGCTTTAGGCATCTTTTAACCGGCCAGGACAAGATAGTAAAAACATTAGAAAATGAAATATATTTTTCCAAGGCTCCTTGATTAAAAATTAGTGTTTTTACACAGCCATATGGTAATTCTTTTAAGCGAAAATTTCAAAAGTTGACATATGATATGTCATTCTATTCAGAGGGTCTTTTTCTATCGAATAAAGTAAAAAATACGGGGGGTGCTATTTAAAAATCAAAAGTTGTAGTAATTTCCGGTGAAACAGGAAGTGATCAAAAACAATTGATTACGTCAATCAATCCCTAATTTATGTCATACACTAACATACCAAATTTTGTTTTTTTTTTATTTGAAAAAATAAAAAAGTTATAGGAGTGAGTCACTTTTGAGACACACCCGTATAATTAAAATAACTACGCCACTGATTTTTCAAGACAATATTTTTATCTTGATTGAACATCCTTTTTAAACAAGATTGATCTATTGAGTTGTTCTGGTCCATCGAACGTTTAAAAAAAAATCAGCCAAGAGCACGCCTTTATATTCAACAAGTTAGTTGAATTGTTTTGGAAGAAAAGCAACTATGAATGTATTTTTTTTAATTTTAACAATCCTTTAGTATTCCTTATCAGAAAGGAAGTACCGTATGATCGAATAAAAACGGCGTCAGCGATGGCTATGAAATGAAGATCGCTGTCATTTTATATGTAAAATTATATGGGGAATGTCAACGATGTTCATTTCCAAGCCAACTGGACGCCGTTTTTTCTCGATCGTACGGTACCTTAGACCCCATTTTCATATATTTGTTTTTCTTAAATACACAATGAGGAATCACACCCTAAATTTTTGACTACTTGGGAAACACCTTGATACTACAAATTATTATGAACGATGTAAACATTTAGAACTTGTGATAATTTAACATTTGTTCTTTTCTGTGCATCGCTATTCTTTGTGACACAAGATGAAAAAGAAACAGCGCCAAAGGCGCTTAGAGAATGACAATGGATGATAAATTTGGTGAGGTCAATCTCTAGCCGCCATTTACTAAAAATTGACATAAAATTTATCAACAATTAACACTAATAATAGAAAGATTAAAAAAGGATAGAACGTTTCCAGACACATAAATTTAACAGATATCTTAAAAAATATATTTCGAACATTTCTAAAATATTCGTTGTTTTAATAAAAATGGAGAAAATTTGCGATACTGGCTTAAACTGAGAAATTAGTATTTTGGCTCCGACTTGTCAGTGTTCAATATGCAGAATAAAAGAGATAAATGGTTTGAAAAAAAGTGTAGAGGTACTTACTCGTACCTAAAAGTACTGTAATTTAGTTATAAGGTATTTTTTAAATAAAAAACAATATTACATAAATATAACTTTATATTTTTGTATATTTTTAAATAAATAAATACATTTTTAACACTCCTTATAGTTTTTTACAGAAGTAAATAGCTCTCTCGATAACAAATATCTAACTTATTAAAAACTAGTACGTGCAACAAATAGTTTAACCGCTATTTTAGTGCTTTATTTATAAACAAGAAATTTATTAAACTATAGTTTGACACCCCGAACAAATTATTATGAACGATGCAAAAAATTTAGAACTCGTGATGTTTTAACAATTTTTTTTCTTCTGTGCATCGTTATTCTTTGTGAAAAAAAGATGTTCACTAACTAAGTACATTTTGACTAGATTTCACTCGTTTATAGAATCTCAAAACATAATTAAAAGAAACGAAAAAAAAACACAACATCACGGACTACTGTTGACCTCTTCACGATGAATAAAATTTATTTGACAGTTGGTCAAATATCTAGTGAATGCTGTCAAAAGTGTCCTGCTTTTTATAACTAACAAAATATAAATAGATAATATATGTAACATTTAATAGTAACAACGCATACGCTTTTTTTTCATACCCCTCAAACTTATAACCAAACAAACGATGGTTGTGTTCTGACTCTCAAATGGCTCTCTCTAAGTCTAAATTGGACATAAATTTGACAGATATATTAAAAAATTATTTCGAACATTTTTAAAATATTCGTTGTTTTTAATTGATTCGAAAGGAACTGTAGTCTCAAATTCTCTACTTGAATAAAAATGGAGAAAATTTGCGATACTGGCTTGGACTGAGAAATGAGTGTTTTGGCTCGGACTTCTCAGTGTTTTATATGCAAAATAAAAAATAAATGGTGCGTTTAGTAGTTGCTTCCTGGTAGAACGGACATCATCAGCCTCCTGAAGGATCCACTTTGCTGAATGACCTCTGGATCGTTTCCTATGGCGCTTAAGTATTGAGGGTTACTTTGGTTAACTACGTGGGGACCTTTCTAAAAGGAACATACAAGTTAAATACTTTAACCAATTTTTTTCTTATATTTATATCATTATTTGTGCTTTAAAAGTGCAAAACAACCCAAATGTTTTCAGTCTTTAGATTTTTGTTTCGTTTGTTTTAAAACCAAATCATTAAATCTAAGAATGATCAAACTTTTAAAAGAATAGAAACGAAAAATACGTATTGCACATTTTGCAAGGAGTTGTATTCGATATACAGGGTGGTCGGAATTGTTTTCAGGAAACTTTGGCAGCATATTATGCAGATAAAAATAAATAAAAAAGTTCGTATAAATGTATGTCCTAAAATGCTTAATTTCGGAGATACAGGGTGTAGAAGTTTCATTTTTATTGAGATTTTTTCCATATAATTTCTGAAGTAACGTCAATATTTAAATGAAAATTAGTTTCTGGAAGTTTTTTGACATCAGAAATTTGATTTTGATGCAAATACGACTCCAATTTGTAGGGGGCGTCACCTACATGTGTTTTAACTGTTTTGAAGAGCAATAACTTTTCTTCCGTACCTGTATCAAATTACTGGTTGGAAAAATATACACTTCCATGATTTTTTACGTAAAAAATTTCTCTAGGTAAAAATCGCTACGAGCAACCGAAATGATAAATTTTGGAATTTTTTATTTTTTTAAATTAATTATAATTTTTTCTTCGAAAAATGATAAATAAAACAGTTTCTGTTAAACCAAACAAAACCAAACATTTCAAATTTATGATTTCAGTCTAATCACTATTTAGTCAACATGTTGAATTTATGTCAGGTATCGATAATTTCGATTTCAAATATCTCGGAAACCATTACTCTACTTGAGATTTTTACCAAGTAACCTTTTTACGCAAAAAACGCTGTAAATGTATATTTTTTTACTCAGTAGTTTTATACAGGTACGGACAAAAAGTTATTACTCAATCAAATTCCTCATGTCATCAAACAAAATCAAATTCCTCATGTCATAAAACTTCCAGATGCCAATTTTTATCGAAATATTGACGTTACTTCAGAAATTATTTGGAAAAAATCGAAATATAAATAAAACTTCTACCCCTGTATCTCCGAAACTAAGCATTTTAGGATATACATTTGTACGAACTTTTTTACTTATTTTTATCTGCAGAATATGCTGTGGAAGATACCGGAATAACAGTTCGGACCACCCTGTATTATTATTTAAATTTATTCATCAGGAAAAAGAGAATTTCATGAGGAATTCACTAAAAAATTTTCTCAGCATACTTGAAATACAAAATACATCAGCATGTATTTTTAAAGCTGTTTTATATTATTAAAATATAATTTTATTGCAAGTTTATGTTACTATGTTAGCCAAATCTCCAGAGCTAAAACAAACCGTTAATGAGCAAGTCCACACAGTGTTAAAAATAAACAACTTACAAATAAATTGGTGAGCGCTAGTAAACAATATTTTGTGCCAAAAAAGATGATAATTAAATAAGGATGTTAATGTGAAGTGTCGGTGCGGAAAATTGAATGAAAATTCGAAAAAAAAATTTCGACACAACAACGACGATACATACAAGCGCGCTTTAAAGAGCGTATCTGCGAGGAATCGGAAACACCTAAAACATAAAATATTACGTACTTTTTTAACAATATACAAGAACTTTCTCAAATGCATGCGCAGTAGAGGCCAACGATTCTCCCATTTTATAAACGGTAAAAATATTTTGTAAAATACAAGGTACAGAGTGTTCCAAACTTGGCGCACTGGACTTACACCAGCAGCAGCAGGTAAACACTAAATAAAATGCAATTTGATTAATTTAAAATTTTGGAATTCAAGAGCACAGCCTATTCACAACCAGCCTGTCGACTTATATACAGTACATCTGCTGGATCTGTGTCTATGAAAGGAATGCGGACAAAAAACATTTAAATAAACAGAAATATATTTTATACGTCGACTTGACGAGTACGTACCGCTAATCGCTCCGCCCACTCATTTTATTGGCTACGTGCAAATTTGTCGAATTTTTAATGATGGGAGGCGTCGTCTAATTTTTTACGAAAAACATCGAGAGAATATCGTTTCCCCTCTCACGGATACCCCGTAGCTGCAGAACGGACAGACGTACTGTAATTTGCATGGAAAGTACCTAATAATAAATACCTACCTATTATACGCTTATCTCTGACCACCCAGCTGATTAGTTAAGTTATTTGGTAAATTGTTGATTGTTTGAGAAGGGGGGGGGGGGTTAATCTCCGCGACTTATAAGTTTATTGTGTTCTCCCCTCTTGAGTTATAAATCATCATACAGTTTCAAGGCTTTGACAACAGCTAGTATCGGAGACGGTTTTACAGAGGGTAGTTCTCCATTTTACTTAATAATAATAATAATAGCTCCCGTATATAGCGTTTAACGCCTTGGGAGTAGCAAGGTACAGAGCTTGCCATACTAGAACCGTTCGGTATACAAGGAAGGTAATGTGGCTAGCACTACGCTTCAACCGCCAATTACTACCTCAGGATTGTGAATCCCAAGTACTCATTTAAGGCTGAGTCGACCTAAGTACCCAAACTATTTTTATTTTAATAAAAATATTCGGCTGATGCCATGCCGGGTGTGGGATTCGAACCCAATACCTTGCGATTAGTAGACGAGAGCCTGTACCTCTACGTCACCGGGCACCTTTAAATTTCTATTAAATTAATTATTAATTCTATTTCGAGAATTTTTTTATTATTTAAATTATTTATAATAGATGACATTTGAAAAGAAACAAATTTATCGACATGGTAGTTGGTAGTACTATTGTTAAATTCTAATAAATGTTTAGAAAAAAACATGTTCAAAAGTAATAATTGCGTTGCGGAATAAATAACTTTGATGACAAATTTTCAAGCAAAATTTGACGTCTTTTGCAACCCTTGCAACCCAGAATGTCCACTGGAGGAAGAGACAGGACCACAGGCACAGCAAGGCCTTTATTCAAGGACCTAACTCTAAAACATAAAACCACAAAAGAACTGCTAATGCTTAGCAACTGTAATAAATAATAAAGTGCTGATTACAACAGGCCTCTTGACAGGACACATGGCTGTCAAGTGTTACCTGAACAAGCTCAACCTGTATCAACGAAGTCTTTGCAGACTCTGCGATAAAGATCCTGAAACAGCGGAGCACATACATATGTCACTGTGAGGCTCTGGATCACAAGCGACACTTTTTATTTGGGAAAGCTAGGCTAGAACCGGAGGAACTATGCTCACATCCTATCAAGGTACAGGAATAGGAGAATGGGTGCAGAGGACAAACACTATAGGTCTCACAGGTCGCAGTGTTTCCGGAAGAGGACGCGCGGCCCCTTGTTATTGAAAACCCTTGACCCTAACCGGTCCCTGTGGATACTATAGAATAATTTTGTATTTTAATTTTCCATTTTTCTAGTATTAGGTAGGTATAAAATTTGAATCACTCTGTACAAAGTATTTCTGACAAACTATTTTTCTAGATTATTAGGATGCATTATTCTAAATCTTATAGAACATATTTAAGATTATTAGTGTTTAGTTAATCATGACACCATAATATATCTTGAAAAGTACGTACAGATGTGTAATGAAGAAAAAATAAATACAGAGTCATCATTGGCACCCACATGTACTAATATTTTTCTTAACACAATACAAAAAACACGAAAGATCCAATCAACATCCAAAATAAGACAATAAAAACGAATGAAAGATGCAAAATCATAAAAAAATAAATTGTTTACATAATTTTGGCACATTTCGCATTCAAATCAATAAGCATTTTAGCATTTTAGTGCGTATCATTCAAAATACAAACATATAGTCTTTCCAAACTCGAAAGTCAGTAATGCAAACATGTCTGCAGGCTCATAAAATTTTACAGTACTGTTCGTGTAAAATCCATAAAAACACAAGAAAATAATTTAAACAGTACAGGGTGAGTGTTAAATAAGTGTTGTGCTTTAAATTAGATATCTCTGAGACTTGTCTCAGTGAGCTCCCACGATAATGTGATTGACGTGACATACATAAATAAAACTGAATAACGTAGAAGATATAAAAACTCTCGCCAATATATACAGGGTGGTCCGAACTGTATTTCGGAAACTTCGGCAGCATATTCTGCAGATAAAAATAAGTAAAAAAGTTCGTATAAATGTAAGTCTTAAAATGCTTAGTTTCTGAGATACAGGGGGTAAAAGTTTCATTTTTATTTCATATTACAATCATATTAAAATCTAGAATGCCACTTTATCTAAAGAAGGAAACATTCGACAAATGTTTACTACCAGTCCTGACCTATGCATGCAAAACCTGGACAGTTAAAACGGACATCATAAGGAAACTGCAGATCGCACAACGCTCAATGGAACGAAATATGCTGGGAATAACCAAGAGAGACCGCAAAATAATAGAGTGGATACGACAAAAGACCCAGGTAATAGATATCAACCACAGAGTCAAATCCCTCAAATGGCAATGGGCAGGACACCTGGCAAGAAGAACGGACAACAGATGGACCACAAAAATGACAGCATGGTACCCACGAGGAATTAAGAGGCCTAGAAGACCGAACGTGAGATGGGACCATGATATTAGCAGGGATAACTTGGGCCCAATGAACCCAACTACAAAGAGAGTACCTAAATATGTGAGTGAGGATACATCATAATTGAAAATGGTTGAATAAGCTGAAAATAATGATGATGGTGATGATGTAAGTGTTTAAAAAAACTTTTTAGCTTGTTAAAGTGCAGATGTATCTTGAAGCAACGCCGAAAATGATGCAAGATTACGCAAAGTTTGATTTAACAAGTTAAATTAACTGACTTTCGAATTTGAACTGGCCACATTTATTATAGATACTTCAAAACAAATCACCTACTTGTGAGCAAATAAGGCATCAACGCAGCCACGACTAAAGCGCATTCTAGTGCCACGAGCTACAACTAAGCCGTCTTAATCCTACTTTTAATATCGTTTACCTTGGTGGGGGCGTATATTTTACTCTGCGGAGGCACGCTGATCTCTTGGACGGGACCTCCGTAGCCGCCATGTTCCTCCTCCTGCAAGTACTTAAATGTTTCGCTCTCAGCAGGATTGAACTTTACCGATCTCTTAGGTGCACTAAAACATTTCAATGTAAAAAATTAATAAGAGTTATGTTCGTTAAACTTCTATAGCTATATGACTAGATGTTAATCGAATGACGTCATGCTTGTCAAGAGTATATCTTGATTTGTTCAAATGAAACATAGAGTATATAATTAAGAGGAGTATCTTGTGTTTAATACAAACTACATTATTTACTTAAATGTAACTGTATTTTAATTCAATTTAGTCGTTATAAATGTTAGATTCAATTGTTATAAATTAAAGTTGTGAGAAAAAAATTAACTACTCTAAACGTCAACGTGTGATGTAGTATTAGTGGAAAATTCAATTCTAATGGGGTTTGAAGATGGTACAGATAAAAACAACTATTTATTTTATTCTAAATATCTACTGTCTAAATAGTATTTACATTCTACAAGTAAAAGTAAAGAATCTATGATTGTAGTTCTTAAATAACATTGGATCATTTTTAAATACTAACTACTACCTGTAGTAAAACTTATAACAATATATCAAATCCTGACCATAGCACTTGAAAGGGCTCTAATTATATAAGGTGAGTATTAAATAAGTGCAAATATTTTCAGGGATGGTAGATCTCGATAAAAAAACATATTTTTTCTTTGCCGTTTTTCAAATAAGTCCAAAGTGACCGAGTTATTTTACTTTAAAAATTTAAAAAAATACATATTTTGCTTAAATTTTGAGAACAACTGTATTTTTTTCTGTTTTTTTTTTCTTATAAATTTAATCTACTAGCTCTGTTGCCATAATATTATGTTTTTTAACTAATAATAATAATAATAATAGCTCCCGTATATAGCGTTTGACGCCTTGGGAGTATAGCATGGCAAGGTACAGCTTGCCATGTTAGAGCCGTTCGGTATACAAGTAAGGTGCCATAATGTGGCTAGCACTACGCTTCAACCGCCTATTATTACCTCAGGATTGTGAATCCCAAGTACTCATTTAAGGCTGAGTCGACCCAGGTACCCAAACTATTTTTATTTTAATAAAAATAGTCGGCTGATGAAATGCCGGGTGTAGGATTCGAACCCACTACCTTGAGATTGGTAGACGAGAGCCTGTACCTCTACGCCACCGGACACCTTTGCTGTGCGCGTCGTTTAACTAAAAATTAAAAAAAATAATTTTTTCGGAAAATACCAAATTTTCAAAAAAATGCGAATAAAAACTAATACATGCAAGGGGTGCTGGAAGCCTAGGGTACGGAGTTTTACAATATACGTGTTTCTGGGGTCGAAATATACCAGCCTTAAAAATATTTGCATTTATTTGAGAATCACCCTGTATAGAGCGACTTGACAATTTCTATATTAGGATCTGCTCAATGTGATGCGAAAAATACGATTTTCTATTGCAGTTATTTATTTATTTATTCCATAGTTTAATTTATTTTTGATATTATATATGGCATAGTAGGAATGTTGAGAAGAAATTATTTGTATTATTTTATTAAATACCAAATTGTTAGAATACAGTTGAGGTTGGAACCTTTGGGGAGTAACAACAGGAAATAAGACACCAGTTTCCCACAAAATACACTAAACATTTGAACATTCGCGCGTTTCGCTAACAATTTCAATTTTCTGCCGATGAATCTGAACATGGTGAGCGAAACGCACAAAGACAGTGTTCAAAGTAAGTTGTAGGTATTGTGGAGTACGAATGTTTTATTTTACCAAATAGTTACCTCATATCTTCTTGAGTCAATAGCTTTTCAATATTTTATCTCAAAAATATAACTGTTTTTAAAAGCCTTTAAAGGCGGATTACACTTGGATATTGCCATGTAACTCTAGGCACTAATAATGCTGCGCGCGTCTCACTTGTACGCTGCTTGTATCGTATTAACTGTTATATCACAGATAACACATACAATAGAAGCAGCGTACAAGTGAAACGCGCACAGCATCCGTATACGTATACTAACATGGCAGCATCCAAGTGTACTTAGTCCAAGTACACTTGGACACCGTGTCAACCGGGCTCTAACTACATTGAGATTCACTAAAGATTTAAAATATTTATATCTATTTTACAGACAATTTAAGATTATTTCTGCAATAATAAAAATCTTTTATACCAGCGGTAAAACCAACGCTACCTTGCAATTGAAAACTTTTGTGTATATATATCTAACCACAATGAAAACGTTGTATACTAATTAAAAACATACAGGCAATGGAACATAAAATCATCTTTTTTTAGTCAACATTATTTTGTTCACTTTTATTGAAACGCTTATAAACTTTTCTATATTATTTATTACTGACTTAGTTTTATACCTCTTCTACATATTTATGACGCATTTAAAATTAATCCAATGTTATAAGAGACCTACAAATAAATAGAACGCATTAAATGAAATGTTATTTATATAAATATGGGGGGCATGTACATCGAATGTATGCAAGCTGACGTTTTTACCTACAAACCCGACCTTCACAATATTTTTGGTGCTTGCCATTAGTTAGTACTATCTAGTCTACTTGCCTGTTTATTGAGCTGCAAATGCCAAAAAAATACCCGGTTAAAATTATTATGTTTTTAGATTGAATTAATTCTTGTTGGAATAAGAATTTGTAAGTGTATATTAATAGAGATTTTCATTTTTATATGACATTGAACGTTACTATTTCAGTAATAAAAAATGATTTGCTATAGTCCATTCAGAAACACTAGAAAGGACACAATAGTAAGATGAGCTTAGAAGAATAATTTTGTATAATATAAAAGTGATCACAACAGAATACAACATTAGTTTACTATAGTCTGTCCAACCGGAGGATTTCTGATAAAGACAGTTGTGTCTGTCACATTAATTCAGAACTCAGAAGCAAATTTCTGCCATTTTTTGGATTTCGTCTGCCGAAATCTTTCTTGAGTCATTGGACAGACTATATAGTATACTAAAACACTTTACTTCTAACACTGGATGAATATTTTGCTTACTATTTTAGCATCATCAGTAGATGATTAAAATTAATAAAGTGTTTGGTGTATTGTGGTGAACTAGTGTTTTATTCTGCTACTTATAGATTTAATTGAATAAGTAAATTAAATGTTATTATGATATTTTTTTACTAAAACTACTCATGGAGTCTGTATTTGTAATAAAAAATTATAAATTATCAAACATAAATCAATACTAGTTAGAAATTGAACAGTGCATGGGAAACAGGGTAAGCGCCGTTTTATTAATTTTACAGGAGAGTCTTGTACGGCTAGTGGTTATCAAGTTCTTTCCCTGTATAGTGTATATCATATTATTTAACAGCTTAATGATTTGCAAAGTTTATATATTTTGTAGGGACCAATTAGATACACTATAATATTTTAACACTTTTTACTATCATGTTTTTCCGCTGGACTCTTCAATTTTAAAATAAGCTTAGAACTCCAACTAATATAACTAACTTTAAAAAATAGGAGTATCTACTTGGATTTGTTACTCTATAGTTAAATTTTAGTAATCACGTACGCATACCAAGAATTGTGTTCTTTAAAATATTTAGAATGGACTACAACACACAAATATCAATCGAGTTATAAAAGTGTGTATTTTTATAGTGAGCATAGCTGCTAAAAATAATTGGCTTTTAATATAATAAATATATAAATTAGTTTAGTGTGAGGCATTAGATTGTGTTTTTTATCAATACACTTACGCCTGAAGTCCAGTTTGCCTGTGGATAGTGTCCACTACATTTGGCTCACTGTATAGGTTGAGTGGTGAATTGAATTGTTTGTGTACAACCTAAAATTTAAATATATTTTGTCAATTTAAGATAGAATAGTTTTAACACCCTCTGATATACCAACTATGACATTTGTTATAATGACAGTTAAGAAATTAACTAATCGCTTAAAAATATTATGTTAGTAATATATCATTATCTATCATAGATTTTTGTTTGTTGGAATAATCAGAGTGTGAAGGAAAAGATGCAACGGAATTACACATTAGTTAAGTGCCCAATACGAAAATATATTTATATATTTTTGTAAATATATAAATATTTACAAAAAAGTGCCAACATACTATGAAACAATTTAAGAGTTGTTTTTGGGAAATGTACACGGAATGAAAAGATTGCACTTGCATTTAATGTAATATGTAATTCAGGTACATCGTTTTAATATACATAGGTACATATTAATATTAAAAATTAAAAAAATTCAATGGCGGTGATACAACGCCATGTTTTTTGACTTTGTTAACTTAAAACAAACCAATCCAGAACATAAAATTATCTGAAACTTTTTTTTTTAAATAAGTAGCATATAAATATAATACACAATTTTCAGAGCGGGTACTTTGTGTTTTGTTGGTTTGTCACATTATACAACTAAAGTTTTTTGATCTGTGTAATATAATAGTTGAATGTCTTTTTAAAATAAAAAAATAAATTTTGAAGCCTAGGTAACAAATTTAGTTATAGACATAGGTAGCGACAACACAAATATCAACCTCTGACTATATTCTATTAGAAAGAATTCGTAAGAACATTTTAAAAACATGCATAAACAAAAATGAGCAATAGAACAAAAGAAAATATAAAGACGTTCACTGAAAAAATTAGTCTAGTTATCTTAGACGGTTTTAATTATTTTTTCTTTTTAAAAACTAAAATATGTGTAGTAAGTGAAAAGTGTAAGATTCCAAAGTAGAGTTTGTTCACCAAAAGAATATATGACAGTACTAACAATACAGTAGTAATAATTCTCTGTCGTTTTAATTTAAATATATATCTATTGTTTCGCTTAATAATTCTTTTTGGTGTAGTCTGTGGAAACTTATTCTCTTCCAAAATAAACTAAAATTACTAGTTGTGTCTAAAGTTGTACAGAATGTACTATTTTAGTTTGAAATTCAGTATATTTTGCTTAATAGTAAAGACAAAACTTTGCTTTTCAGGCATCTCATATTCTGAATGTCTGCTTTTTTGAGAAATCACATACCGTACGATCGAATAAAAACGGCGTCAGCGATGGCTATGAAATGAAGATCGCTGTCATTTTATATGTAAATTTATATAGGAAATGCCATCGATCGTCATTTCCAAGCCAACTGGACGCCGTTTTTATTCGATCATACGGTATAACTTAAACGTAAATCGATAGCAGTTATCATGCAGTTTTGTGAAGCTTATAAAAAGGAAAATTGTCTTCGTGACAAATATAAAGAATATCTCAATTTAGGGTACTTATATATCAAAAATGAAAGTACTAAGAAAAAACTAACTAACTAATATAAGCCACTGAATTGTACGTAAAAAATTATACCATTCTGGTCGTCATAAAAGCGTGGTCTGGAATTTAACGTGTATTATAGTGATGGAAACAGCATAATGGAAAATCAAATGTATTAAAAAGAGATAAAAGTTGTGTTGAAACATTTCTTCTATGCGATATTGCCGGATTTTGTATCAAAATTTCAAACAGCACCAATATAAACGTATATAAAAAAAAATCACAATTAGTTACTCAATTTACTACAGCTGTAATATATTATTATACCGTCTGATCTAATAAAAACGGCGTCAGCGATGACTATGAAATGAAGATCGCTGTCATTTTATATGTAAAATTATATGGGGAATGTCATCGATCATCATTTCCAAGCCAACTGGACGCCGTTTTTTTTCGACCGTACGGTATTTAGCTGAGATATATTATCTTAATTTCAATAATATATATTGAAGTTTTTAAAATAGTTTATTTTTTCTACACACATTTTCCTACAAGGGTAAAAACCGGCAACACTGTGTGCCGCTTTTTATTTTGTCTCTCTGTCTGCCAACCGGTCCTTTATATTTATCTCTGTCGCTTACGTTAAAACACACACCACGTAGATGAAGTGTCCAGGATGGTATAGTAATTTTTACCTTTTTGGAGATTGCCAGAAAACACAAATATAAAGTGTCCTAAACTTTGGATGCGCATCTTAAGTTTTGTTTAAAAAGTAGCTAAAATGTTTACAAATCGCAATATTTTATTTTTGTTAATAATTGTAAAACTCTCAATTGCAAACAAAATGAGACACTGTACAAAATTAAATATTTAGATAGTTTTCACTACTCATATATAGAGTAGTTTAAAAAAGATGTTAGTGTTAGTGGATAAAATGATGTAAAATAGTTAGGACACACTCGTGCAAGAAAAAAAAAACATTAAATCAACAAGAAACAGGTTTAAAACAAAAAAAGTAAAAATACAGTCGTTTCATTCAAAAATAATAACCTGTTTGTTTGGATCACCTGTAGATATTCTATCTAAAAGCGAGTGAGCAACCTGTTGTACAAAAAAAATCAAAATTACCACAGGAAACAGCAATACTGTATTTTGGTGCGTGTGTTACGAGAATAGCGCAATCTAGACCTGCTTTATTGCTTATTTTTAGACGTTCCATATTAAATCCAGATGTTATTTCTAGTCAAATCTTTTATTTTCATCAAAAACACAAAATATGATCTAAAGATACTGGGTGATATTATTTTAAATAAATGAATTGGAAGACGTTTGATCGATAACGAATTTGAAGAACGATGAAAGACGAAAACAATAATTAGGAAAAAAAACATTTCAAACAAAAAAATGTGGGAGTGGTGGGCAGTTTGATAGAAAGCCAAGTCAAACTTTTAGTGCTACACGTTTTGACCACCCACTTGATATTTTCAGAAATAAAGAAAGATAAAGTTTAAAATAGAAAATTAAATAACAGTCTTTTACATTTAATTCTCATGGTCGTTATAAACTAGGAATTTAAGAACCCATATGATATGTCTATTAGAGTATTAAAAAATATAGAGAAGTCAATACTTTTAGTCTTTTTCTCAATATGCATTTTGAATGCATACTCCATTGTAGAGGACAGATATTTCTTTTTGTATTTATCAAGTAGAAAATAAATATTGAAAACTAAAACAGCTAAGATTCTGGAAAGAACGAAAAGTAATCAAATTAAAATAAACTTTCATATACTTTAAATTGAAAACTTCTTTTTAATTATCTTCATAGATATTGAGAATAATTCCTTTAAAAAAAATCTGAAGCCTAATTATTAATCTAATACTATATAAAATTCTCGTGTCAGTTTTAGTTACCATACTCCTCAGAAACTCAGAGATTTTGATAATATTCTATATGTATATTCAGTAGGTCTTAGAATAAGCTGTTATCTATTTTTATACCCCAAAGTCATAAGGGTGGTCCACCCCAATTTTTTTTTTATTTTTTGGACAATTTTTATTTTTTATTTTTTATGAGGTGGTATTAAAAAATACATACAACCCAAAATTTTCAATCTTCTACCATCAACCTCTATTTTTTAGTAGTGCTATTAGTATCGATTGATAGATATGATTGAATCATTTTGAATCCCGTGAATAAAAATGACTTGACCTCCAAATTAGTGGAATAAATTAGCGGTTTCAATTAGCGGTAGAAGTTTGGTTCCTCTAATATCAATGTAAGCATTCACAGCGACAAAATGAATAATAGTAGTAATATTCAATTAGTGGAAAAAGTTAACAAACTTTTAACTTTTCCACTAATCATACTTCAAAATTTGCGAGGAATGTCATTTTGGTCTTTGATTATCATCATAGATAAAAGAAAATAATCTACCATTAAATTATCATCATCCGTCAAGAGAAATTAAGGTTAGAAATCAAAAGTTTATTGTTTTTTAAGCTAAATATTAGGCTTTATCTATGGATACAACTGACTACCCCAGGCTGTTGCTAGGATATTTTATTAATTTTAATTGTCTTTTTTAGACATTGTGAATAATCGTAAACTAAAAAGTATAAAGTGTAATTGAAGCCACTAATTTATTCCACTAATTGCGAGGTTCTGAATAAAACTTAAGTTTTTTGTATCATAACTTGTTAAGTTACGAGACACGTTTTTTTTAAATAGGATTCTTTTGAAAATATCAGTTTCTTTTTAATCTTAAGCATTCAAGACGTTCAGTATTGACATCTGTATATTCTTATACTACTCTAATATTAAGCCACAATAGGCCCTCGCGGCCTCAGTGGAGGGTCCCCTATGGGACCCACTCTTAGTCAAATACAATACTCTAATATTAAAATTGTAAAATAAGCAAAAATTAAAATAGCAATTGTTATTTTCAGAAGCCAATCGTGAGATACCTTTTGATGTGGAACTAAATGCGGTGGTGGCGCTCTGACACTTGGGTTAGGATGATGACGTAGGTAACTTTCTGTCGGTCCGGGTTCCCTTTTCACCTTGGCACCGGGAAGTACCAACGGTGTTGTACGGTACGGCTACAACAAATGGGGACACATATACACATACACATTATGAAAACGAGTACAAATGTTTTGTAAAATATTCAGATTAAATTAGACAAGTAGAGGTTTTATGAAAGGAGATGAATTTATAATGATAATTATTGATATTACATAAGTATCTACTAAAGAATATAACAATTAAAATATGAATGGTGATGTAACAGTCAATTTTCCTCGTTACGAATTTTGTGTACCAGCGGATAAATTATAACAAACCTTTTTTAATAATAACATCATGTTTATTATAATTTTATTATTATTTTTTTTATATAGTACTTTACTGTTAGTGAACCAGATATATATAGCGTTGTCACTGGTTGCCGTCACCAGAGATCTTCTCTATATCTATGGTCGTCACTCGTCACAGTCAAGTCAAATCAGCTGTTTTATAAATATATTTAATCTGTTGTCGCGTTTGTGAAAATTTGATAATTTTCATTTAAAATTTGTAATCGAATCGCTGATTTTTAAGTATATTTTTATCGTTCGAACTATAGTTTTATTCGTTGGACGACAACCATTGTTACTTAGGTTATTTGTTTATTCGCCGTCTGGATTCCATCTAAAAAGTTCTACAGCTGGCTGATGACAACAGTGGTCCATCGAGCTACGGTATACCGTCCGTATCAGATCATGGTATCAGACTGTATATAGTACTAAGTTAGATAAGGGGGATAACGTCTTTATTTTGGCAGATTTATAGATTATTTTCTTTTTCAATTATACAGTTCTCTTTTCTTTCCTTCATTCTTTTTTTATATATTTAACTTTTTATCTTTTAATAAATTGTTACATTTGCTAGTATTATTTAGTCTAGTATTATAGTTAAGATAGAGTCACCAAGTTAAAATAGTATATAAGAATGAATGTTGAAGTTTTGCTTAATAGTTACATCCTTTATTCAAAGAGTCATTATTAGTGTATAATCTCGTGGCGCCCTTTTATTAATATTTTTAAACTCCGACCTCGGGTGGTACAAGTAAATGGGCGCCCAACGTTGGGCGCCAAAATTTTCAGTCAGAATAAGTCGTATAGAGGCCGCTAGCTTTTTAATTGTAACAGCCGGGCGGACGGGGTTCAAAGATATTAATAAAAAGGCCACTCCACCAGATTATACTCTGAGAGAGACCCATTCTTACTTAAGCAAACTTTGTGTTTAAGTGAATTTCAAATTTTAAAGGTGCCGTATCAATAATATACAACGAACTAAAATATTTTGTTTTAAAACCTTGACGGCTCGTCATTTTGTTAATCATGTTGGTATGATCAGCAGATGTAATGTTTTTTTAAAGTTTGCCCAAAGCATTAACTGACACTGTGCATAATTCACCCCGGAAAATGGTAGATTTTTTATAGATTGCATTACAAGCCAATATTTTTAAAAGAAAATTTAATTTTTGACATAAAACTGGTCAAAAATTAACACTAATTATGGAAAGATTAAAGAAGGATAGACTGTTTCCAGACACACCAGTCTATTTTCAAAAAATACACACTTTTCCTCGAATTTTAAGCTACACCATTTAAAGATAATTTTTACTCATTATAAAAATAAATACATCTTTCTTAAGGTCAACTTGCAGTAAGCGCTTTTAAAAAATAAAGAGTGCGGACCAAGTAATGACGTATAAAGCTTGACCTCGCCAATATTATCATCGCCTCTCATTTCCCAGCCGTCTATGACGCCATTTTTTTCGATCGTATGGTATATTCCATGAAAAGCAATCGAATGGGGGCTTGTGCAATTATTTTGTTGCCACTCGGTAAAAAATTGTTGTAATTCGTAAAATTTTCATTTTTCATAAATAAAAATCAAATTTTATTTATGAAAATTGAAAGTAATCCAGAATATTTCACAAAAATAAAGATTTGATGAACAAATGTAATGTAACATAATTATGAATTTGACACACGAGTGAATATAAAAAACGGCGTGTCGTGGTAGGTCCGATTTTTCGAAATAATTGAAGGCGTCTGGTCCCCATATTAACCCAGATCTGGATACCGAAATAGATTTCTGGAAAATTTACATCAAGAAGTGAATATATGCGAGCCAAGTGTTCAATGGAGGTTAATAATTCCCAGCCAGATGAGTATTGTGCGCGATCTTGTTTTTTTCATTTTTTTTCTCTTCGAAATAACTTTGGAAAAACGTAAATACGTTAAGGATCCAGTAAAACCCGCGAGTTTTATTTTTAGAAGTTTTAATACAAATAATGAGAAATCTTCGAGAAAAGCGTATGATTCAAAAGCGTAAACACTTTCCTTTTGTTTTGCGATAATTTACAACACCATAAAATATAGAAAATATTTTTTTCTTTCTTGGAAGTATTATATTTTTGGGGATTTTCTTTTCATGCTAAAATGTGTATTATTTTTTTCAGATTCAATAAACGTACGTGACTGAGACAAGGTTCGTTTATTTTCCAATTTCTATTTTCTATTCCACCGCACAGAAACAAATATATAAAATGTTAAACTAGCATAGAAATTTGATTGCCAATTAAAGTTTAGGATAAAGAGTATATACCGGGTGTTTTTTAAAAGTAGCTCAGCCCTATACCCTTTTAATTTTTTTAGATTAAAAAAACGAGATTTGGTATGTTAGTACCTAAGTATATGACATAAATTATTCAATTGCTTTCGGTCACTTCCTGTTTCACCGGAAATGACTACCAGTTTTGATTTTTAAATGGCACCCTCTGTATTTTTTTACTTTATTCAATAGAAAATGACACAATAGAATGACATATCATATGTCAAGTTTTGACATTTACGCTTTAAAAAAAATCGTATTTTAAATTTTAATCTAGAGAGCCATGCCTGTGTTAAAAACACTAATTTTTAATCAAGAAGCCTTGGAAAAATATATTTGATCGTTTAATGTTTTTCGTGTCTTGTCCTTGCCGGTTAAAAAATGCCCTAATCGTATTTTTAATCATATCTCAATTTTTTCATCAATATCTCAAATTGTCGTCACGAACCGCATGTTACAATTTCAAATAAACCATATACGAAAATGTCAAAATTATATGTCATTCTATTCAGAGTGTCATTTTCTATCGAATAAAATAAAACAATATCAAGGGTGTCATTTAAAAACCAAAAGTTGTAGTCATTTCCGGTGAAACAGGAAGTGACCGAAAACAATTAAAGGGTCCAGGGGAAAAACTTGATAAGCGCCAATTTCTTAATTTTAGGATTTTACAATATTATAGGAGGTCCCTAACTGGTCCCTACAAAATGAATAAACTCTGCAGGGCCAGGGCCGGATGCAGAAATTTATTTTAGGTTGGGCCCAGATAAAAAGTAATATTAATGAACAATATGCTATTTAGAGCGCCATTTTTAACCCAAAAGCCTAATATTTAACGCAATTTATAGATTTTAGGGGGGGGGCGGGCCCCATGGGCCCCATGGGCCCCCCTTTGTATCCGCCACTGTGCAGGGCAATAAGTTGTTAAATCCTTTGGTATATGCCTAGTAAAAATATAGAATACACGGCAAGAATCTGATAACTACCAGCTGTCCAGCGCTCTCCTGTAAAATCAGTGAAATGGCGCTTATCGTGTTTTTTTTTCCTGGACCCTTCAATAAAATACACAATAAATACAATAAATACAAATCTCGTTTTTTACCTGAAAAATAAAAAAGTTATAGGGGTGAGCCACTTTTGAGCCATTATCGCCAAGTATTTCTACGAAATTCTGATAAAAAATTAATAATAAATAAAATCAGATTTGTTATTCTCTAAGATATTTTCAATATTTACACAAATATAATATCATATGCCTTTAGAAAGTTAGTCGCGTTAACGTCTCGGTTTTGCTGCTGGACGGGGTCTACTTAGTTTACGCGGAATCTACACCGAGGTTCTCGGCCATATCATTTCAATAGCCTACCGACTTGGCGAGTTTTTTATTCGGCTCATACTCTCGAGATACTCGTGAGACGTCGTGGCGCCGGCGTGAATGAGCAGAGTGTGTCAATAGATTTTAGAATTGCGATGGAACAACACGACAGAGTTTCCAGACAGTGAAATATTGTTATTGTCTTCTTGAATTCCCAATTGTTTCAACTAATCTTCTGTGATAATTTTTTAAATACCATAATTCACGAACTACGCTCACTGAATGTAACTTTCGTATGCATTTGGAAAACTAAATGTTTTAATTAGAGATGAGCAAGAAATTTTACAGAGCAAGATTTTGAAATCGCAACCTGCGATTGGCTATCATAGGAAATTGCGATTTCTTCTATTTGCGAGTTTCAATTTAGGCAACCAGTATTACTATAGCTACGATTTGCGACTCTGTTGCGATTTGAGATTTTGCTGCGATTGTGATTTTGCAAACTGGGACCCTGATTTCAATCTGCGAGTTTGAAATTTTAGCGATTTGCGATATTGTTGCGAATGTAATTTTGTGGTTTATTGAAGCATTTTATAGTAAACTGCGATTGAATTTTCACTCTGATATTATTTATTTATAGAGAAGGTCATATTTTCGAGGGTTATCATCAATAAACTACCGTGTGTTTCTCAAGAGTGGTTCACCCCTATAACTTTTTAATAAAAAAATGAGATTTGGTATGTTAGTATATGACATAAATTAGGATTGATTGACGTATTCAATTGTTTTTAGTCACTTTCTGTTTCACCGAAAATGATTACAACTTTTGATTTTTAAATGACACACTCGGTATTTTTTTACTTTATTTGATAGAAAATGACACTCTGAATAGAATGGTTTGGTTATAAGGCATCTTTTAACATTTTCGAAAAAAATCGTATTTTAAATTTCAATCTTTTCAACACTAATTTTAATTAAGATGCCTTGAAAAAATATATTTGATCGTCTATTGTTTTTCGCGTCTTGTTCTGGCCAGCTAAAAGATGCCCAAATCGTATTTTTCATCATATCTCAATTTTTTCAAATGGAACGAGGGTGGCTCATTGGCATATTTTGAAAAAG